GCATCCCTTCTCTTCTGACTCCCATCCTTCACCTGCCTGCCCGGGGCTCTCCCCGACCCCGGGCCTGCGCTCACCAGCGGGAGAGGGAAGCCGTTCCGCCTCTTCCCCCGCGTCCAGCCGAAGGGCAGGGAGAGCCCGTCCTCGTACTCTGCCGGCAGCCAGCGCGCCAACGCCTGGTTGGCGGCTCCCAGGGCGGGGTGCCTCCTGAAACAGCAAGACCCGTCCTCAGCTTCGGCCGGTCGGCCCCGGGGTCTGCTTGTCTGAAAACCCCACTGGGAATCCCCTGGGGAAGGACCTGGAGCCTCTGAACAAGGGATAGGGGGCCCGGAGGAGGTGCTTCTCAACTGTGGGGTGTCTGGGCTACTCTCACCTCCGAAGGCGCGGGGCTCCTCTGCACCGGGGAAAGGTGCTGCTTCCAGTGGGTTACAGTGGTCTCTAGAAGGTGGGGAAGTTAGGGGGGTTCCAACAGCACAGATTCCAGTGGGACGCTAGTCCAGGAGGGTAAGGCAGTGGGAGTTCTGCCTGTAATGTCCAAGTGGCAAAGTCCTGGCTGGGTTGGGCAGGGCAGGTGGCCTGGGCAGGTGGGCTGAGCCTAGTGGGCTGTTTGTGGGGATGGGAGGCACCTGCCTTCTATACCCACCCATGGCCACTCACCCGTTATTACAGTCTCCTGTGATGGTGCGGTAAGGGCTGTTCTCGTCACATTTCACCACGGAAACTGGGACGTCACAGCCCACCTCCCAAGAGAGTGCAGTCAAGTCCAGGCTGGGGTCTGAAAGAGAAGGGATGCCAAGTGGGCTGGATTCTTCCTCCGCTTTCCGTGTTTCTGTGGACACCAGTTGGGCTGGACTCTCTCCAGTTTCTGTGGTGGTCCTGTTCCTGGCAGGATTTAAGTGAGGGGCGCTGTGGTCTTGGGAGGATAACACATTGGGAAGCTTTAGGCATCAGAGGCTTCCACGTGGGCACAGAATGGAGAGACCTCCTAATGCAGGCTGTGCTCCATCCCAGTGCCCGCAGTGAAAGGGAGGCAAGGGAGTCTGGCTCTGGGGGCTTCTTTGGGGGGCTCATTTGTGAAAGTTGGCAGAGGCCCCAGCACATTTTGAATCTTGGAGTCCAAACTGCTCCCTGCTTCTCCCTACCTTGTCCCAGTTTCCTTCTTTTGCAACTTTGGAATTTGCCCAAACACCCAGGCCAGGGATCTTCATCCACTTGATGTTTGCCCAGGGAGAACTTGTAGCCTCTTCCTCGAGTCATGACCAATCCCCTCCCTCCGTGACCCTCCGTGAGCTGTGCCATTCAGTAGGGGGTGGGGCGGAGGGGTTGGGGAGGTCATGACCAGTCCATCAGCTCATTGTTTCAGCCCCACAGCACCCAGAACAAGAGGGAAATCTCATCACCTGTGACATAATCCCAGTAAATCCCCTCGACACAGGTGGCTTAAACTGGCCCTTTCACAGGCGGAAGTGGTGACACTGTGGTTTGGGACAAGGAACTGGTGTTTATTGACATTAGTCCTTCCTCTGAACAGAGACCTAACAGATGGCGTTATAACAAAGAGCATGAATGTCCCCTCATTGCGAGCTGGCAGTGGGACCTTGCTGGGCCTGAGTTCCTCTCTCTGCAGGAAAGAGCATGGGCGTCGCTGAACTCAGCCTCTCCTTGCTCTGCAGGTCTAGGAGAGAGAGAGGCGATGGCTCCCAAGAGGAAATGCAGCTTTTGCTGGCTTCTGCTCTCCCCTGTGGCGAGATGACCCCTTCTTGCCATCAGAGGGCTGGTGAGCTTTCTGTACCTGTGACGTTGGTCTGGGTCACTTTCTGCCACAGTCTCTTTAAGGACTCCTCCCACACCTGCCCATTGTGGATGGCTGTGCGCGTCCGGCCCTTGGCATGCTTGAGGTACTCTGAGAGCTGTCGAGTGGTGGGCACCTCAGAGCTCATGGCAGCCTTCAGCCTACAATTGAG